TACTTCTCAAATTTCGGCGCTTTGAACTTATAAGGCAACACCAGGTCAGGAACCAAACACATGTCTACAGCATCCAGGTTAACAGCATCTTTCACTTTTAAAGCTTTCATTCCTTCTTCCAACGCTCAGAGTCTTCTATCCTTTTCAAGAGCTCTTGGATCTACGGTCCTGGCTATCGGAATATCTCTTCGGTAATTCATCATAGGGAAAACAACACCTTGATTGTTAACAGGAGGAGGACGTTCATTTCGGACAACAAACTGCTCATGTCGATCTCGGTTCTCCACAGAAGGCTGTACAACTTGGTCTGCAGTAACGTTGTTCACTTGCGGGAAGTCTTCCATAGAATCATACAGAGGGTTGGACGTCATAGTGAACCCCGTCAAGGTGTTAGGAGACTGGAAATTTCCTTCAGACATAGCTACCAATAGTCTTCAGCTGACTTCAATGCTTGACTCTGCTCAAATCTACTCAACCCCTAGGTCGGTCTTCTGACAATCAACAGTTGCTCAATCCAAACTCCGGGTAATCACCTTCAGGAAACAAAGGTTGGATCAGAACTCTGGCTAACTGGAGGATGATATGCAATATGATGCAACACTGATATGCACATGATATGCAAGATGCAGCAAACAACGGGACCACAGCCCCCACACAAATCTGAATACTACTGCGCTGCTGACAGAGTACGTTCGCTCTGAAGAGAAGACCAAAATAACGGGTAGGTTGGAAGTCAAGTTTCCTGCACAAAAAAACCCCCCACTCACAGGTATGGACCTATATCTGACAAGGTACGGCATCCTATGCGGTCGTTAGCGTCACAGACTTTCAAAACTGACGATACGATTCCCAGAAGGAGTGGCATCATTAAGTCTTGAAGAGGCCTCACTTAGCTAACTTCCAAATGATCGGTTCCCGGAGTCGACAATCCAACTGACCAACAACCCCCTCGACCCAAAGGGTAGAAAAAGAAGTCAACCAAAAGAACCTCGTCCGAGTGTAGATTTCGCGGGACACTAGTACAAGCAAAGCCGGTACGCGCCCACTAATCTCTACTCTAAGTCTAAGGTGCACTCAAGCCCAGGTCCGACTTCTCACTCAATCATAGAACACCCGTCACACCCCAACAGCAACAGATAATATCAATAAATAAACCCCGATAGACAAACAAGCGCTAGGATTGACTCTCTCTTAGGGGACGTTGGATCCCACATGCATAGGGACTATCGCAGTCCTTAGCAGCCAGGGGACGTTGGGTCCCCAGCAGAGTCGCCAGCTGTCGCTACTGCGAAAATCGGCGCCGGCTGACAGAAGAGTCGCCACCGTGCGTTATTTATCCCAACGGAGGGAAAGGAAACGCTCGAAGTAAACCTCGCAAAAAACGGGGAAAGGTATGGTCATCGCAACCAAAACCTGGGTTCGGGAGCCGGTTACGCAAGGGGAAGGTATTAGCACCCCTCACGTCCATCGTACTCGATGGGATCCACGCTTGCTTGGGTTGTCTAAAGGATGCAAACAATCTATCTACGGCTGCTAAATCTAAACGGAAGGGAATTGACTCGATAGAGCGTCGCACTCTATGCCTACGTATTCTCAAGAGAGAAAGTCAGAGTCAACATAGTTCGGGACTACAGGGAAAAATTGGCTCGCCAAGACTTCGCGTCTTGTGCCTACGTACTTCCACACTGCATGGAAGATCAGAGCTTTACGTAGTTCAGGCTAACTACGGCTAAACAGGGTATTCTCACACAGCAGTGAGAAATCAAACTGGTTTCACAGGTACGGGAACCTATGGGAAAAACTACGGTCTGGTCTCAAATGCACTCGGGCAAGAGAGAAGGGGTTACAATCAGTCGTCAGCGGGAAAGTCTCTATCGCACAGCAGCGAGAGAACAAAAGAATTAGTTATTAGTGTGCTCGCTAGGACATCGCATCCTATTCTTACATATCCTCGTCTGGTACGAGGAATCAGAGCAGCTGTAGTTCGGCTACTTCGGGACCACAGCTCAAATCTCGTTTTATTAACATTCTGAAAAATGATTACAATGAGTGAATACTGAAAATAAACCCCTAGGAAATACTATCATATCCTATCCATCTATAATGGAAAAAATCAAATGGAAAATAGTCCCCTAACAAGTGGACATTCTAAACTACCTCTAAAAAGGTGTAAAAGAATTTCTATGAAAAAATGTACTCTAAAAAATATTAAACTTACACTAATATTTTTTTTACTATTTTTTCTCTATTCTTTTTCAATATATTTTCTTCTTTTTTCATTTCTTTCCTTTTCAAATATTTCTTTTTCTTTTTCAAATATTTTTCTATATTTTTTTCTCTATTTTTTTCATACTATTTTTCAATATTCTTTTTTTTTTATTTTTTTCAATATATTTTCTCAAGCTATTCTTTTTTCCTCAAAATATTTTTCATATTCTTTTTTCCTCTTCTTTTTCATATTTTTTCTTTATTCTTTTTCACTATTTTTTTTCTTCATATTTTCAAATATTTTTCATGCATATTTCTTTTTCTTTTTCTATACGTTTTCACTATTTCTTATTATTATTTTTTCATAAAGAAACAATAAAATGAAAATGAGAAAAAAATACAAGGGGAGGGGGTACACAGCCCAGCTGGGGGGTATTAAGCAAAAGAAAACAGAACACTATGGGCCCAGCCCACTACTCAGCCAAACAAAAAAGGGGAAGGGGAATTAGGAAACAGAGGGGGTATGCAAGCAGAAAGCATGTGGGCTCAGGCCCAGAGTCACAGACACACAGCAGGGGGGGGGGGGTTTGATGAGTAAACGGAAGGTGTACGGACGGAACTTCGTTGGGCTTAGAGGCCCATTAGCCATGTGAACCCTAATTTTGGCTGCCACTGTTCACCCACACGCGAGTGGCGCCGTCTCCACGAACTCTCTCCCGTTCCGTTCTCCATTCAAACAATCTCCTCCATCTCTCTCACAAATTCTTTTTGCTCCATCAACTCTCCCAACCTTTCTTGTCATTAACCCACAAAAGAAGAAGAAGAAGCTCTATTGACACCTGAACAAAGTAAATCCATGGGTGCGTGTGACGATTTGGACCGATGACGATTGTTCTGGCGATTTCTTGAAGTTCTATGAAGACTGTTGCGACTTCCTGGATCTTGAAAGTTCTGGCGATTGACGGATGAAGGTTGCTCAGAGGTTCACATGAAGTTCTCTGATGAACGAGATGAAGGCAGATCGGGAAAAAAATATAGATCGTTGAACATTTCTGGATATGGTTCTTGAACGCTTTGAAGGTTCATATGATGATGATGAACGTTTTTGAAGATTTTCTGGAAATGCTTGAAGGTACGATTATGAGTGGTGAACGATATTGATGAGACTGATGCACGATCTGGAGAAGAAACTGGAACCGTAAATCCTTGACCATGTGATCTTCATCAAGAATCTGGAAAACAGTGGAGATTGATGCCTGTTCTTGGAGTCTTCTAGAAACGGTTGGAGATTGACGAACTCGGATGAATTGGGATGAAGGTCTAGAAGATGTTGATGAGATTCTTCTGGAAAAATGATGAAGGTGATGAATCTTCCGATGAATCTGGTGAAGAACTCATAGGCGTTCTGGAAAATGATCAGATGAAGAACATGAAGGTTGTTGAAGAAGATTGATCGAAGGAGATAAAGGTTGATCGGAGGGAGATGAATTCTGGAATTTTTTTGGGTGTTTTAGGGTTTCCGGTGACGGGTAGGGCGGCCGGAGTAGGTTAGGGTGGCCGGCGACGTTCTGTTGCGGTGGTTGCATGGCCGCCTGCCATGCAATCGGTGGGGGCTCAGGTGGTGACGCGTGTCAAGTTGAGTGGGGGGAGAGGTTGCATGAGTCCCACGTGTTGTGAGGCGTGGCATGGAGAGAGAGAATCTGAGAGTGATGTGGCGTGATGTGCAATGAATATGTGGCCCCCCTCCTTTGATTACACGTGGCCCTGACTCTTTATAGGCTTTGACTGATTTTTCTGGACTCTTCTGGAATGGACAAAAAAGGACTCTGGGCCTCCACCAATTGGGCCCAATACGAAAAATGAGACCATAAACTCCCAAAAAAAACAGAATTGAAATGGATAAAAAAACTGAATGGAAAAAAGACTAATTAAATGAACTAAACTTCATTAAAAACTGATTAAAGACCTAAATCTATTATTAAGCTAAACTGAAAATTAAACTAATCTAGACCCTAATTAATTCCTAATTAACACCTAAACAAAAGATTAAAACCTAATTAATCTAACTAAATCCTAATTAAATCTAAAAATGGAAAAACTCTATTAACTCTAATTAACTTCTAAACTTAATAAAACTCTAATAATTCCACTAATCGAAAAAATCTAATAATTCTCTAATTAACATTTTATTAAATTTCCATTTAGTATCTAACAAAATTTATACTATTTATTTAAAAGAAATTCTATTATTAATAAAAGAAAAATCTATATTATCCTATATTAAAATCTATTTAAAACTAATAAAAGAAAAATCTATTATTATTCTATATTATTCTAAAAAGAAAGTGATAAAAAATCCATTTAATATCTAATATACTCTAAAAAAAAAATTAAAACTATTAAAACTATTTAAAAAACTATTAATATTCTAAAAATGATTAAAAAATCTATTTAAATTCTAAAAAATAATTATAAAGCCTATTTAAAATCTACAAGAAGCTATTAAATCCTAAAAATGCAGACAAAGGCAAATAACCAGTATAAAAGAGAGCGCGAGACCAGATCGAAGCAAACAGTAACCCGGCTACCGAGAATCTCCAAAATCACTGCGTGAGCTGAGAACACCCAGGGAGCGCGCGACTTCCCAAAATAACCTCTGATTATCTGCACCGGTCTGAAACACCCGAAATGCGACGGCAGGGCTGTAGTCCCGATAAAATCACCATGATCGAGAAGATGCACTATATGCAGTATGCAGATGCGAATGCGGTCATGCGTCGAAACATAGCCAGATGCAGGACCCGGTTGGTCAAATTTTAGGGTGCAACAATGAGGCACATATAAATATGGAGTGGTGCAATCAAAGTACGTCAATTAAATATCTTTTCAAATACATCAACAAGGGTTCTGATAGGATCTCGGCTGTTATCGTTCCAAATAACACTGGTCAAGATGGAAATACTGATGAAATCAAGCAATACCTTGATTGTAGATATGTATCACCAAGTGAAGCTTGCTGGAGAATCTTCTCTTATTCAATTCATGGTAGAAAACCAGTTGTTGAAAGATTATTTTTTCACATGGAAGGAGAGAATTATGTGTACTACAAATATTTTGAGCAAATAGGTACTCTCCTACTTAAACCAAGTGTCACAGAATCAATGTTTACTTCTTGGTTTCTCGCAAATAGCCAATATGAAGAAGCAAGGTCTTTAACATATGGACAATTTGTGTCAAAATTTGTATATGACAAGAGGAAAAGGTGTTGGAAACCACGTAAAAGAGGTTACACAATTGGCCGACTCATTTGGGTCCCACCAACGACTGGAGAATTGTACTATATGAGGATGTTGTTGTCCGTGAAGAAAGAGCCAAGATCTTATGATGAATTAAAGACAATTGAGGGGTTCAAGCACAATTCTTTTAGAGAAGCATGTTTTGCATTGGGCTTCCTAGAAGATGACAAAGAGTTCATTGAGGCAATTAAAGAAGCTTATAACTGGGGTTCTGGAGTATTTTTGCGTAAACTTTTTGTTACAATGTTATTATCAGCTTCATTGAATCGACCAGAACATGTCTGGCTTTACACTTGGATATACTTATCAGATGGAATTCTATATGAACAAAGACTATTGTCACAAAATCCAGGTTAGATTAATACATATTTTTATATCTATGTCACAATAAGTTATATTTTATCGCCTCCATTTTATTGCTTACAACACTTTTGTTGACAACACTTTTATTCACTTCTACAACACTTTTACAATACTTTTATTCAATATTATTCTTTCATTACTTAACGTTTATTTTTTTTTTTGTAGATTTAACTTTGTCAGATGAAGATATTCAACAACTCACTTTAATGGAAATTGAGAAGCAGCTGCAGAAAAATAGAAGAAGTTTGAAAGAATTTAAGCCAATGCCATATCCAAATAATTATGTCCTTGACTTTCTTGGAAATAGATTGATATATGATGAAAGACAATATGATATCAAGGCTCAAGAAGAGATTTACCACAATCTATTTCAAAAATTAACGGGTATTGATTTTACTATTATTTCAATAATATTACTTTATGCTTTATTAAGCCTTCTATAATAGTTGTTCATCTTCATTCTCATCAAGTTAAACACATATGCGGTATCTATTCTATATTGTTCATGGAGTAGATTTTAGTAATTATATATTCATGGTATTCATTATATGGTAATGGTTATGGTATATCTCTGTTGCACCCTAAAATTTGCCCAACCTTATCACTTGGTTTATGTTTTAATATCATTAGCATTTGCATATAGAGTCATGTACATAGACTAATCACCTGCATAGCATGAGCATAGCAAGTCATTCAACAGGGGACCAATCATTATTCTCATCTCTAGAAGCCTATCAAGAGGCTATTATCCCAATTCAATCCCATTCAAGTCATCAGGAAAGAATTTGAAAGCAAAGAGCTCAGCAGATCAAGCCTTGAGTCCATCTCCTAGCTGAGGATATCTGAGGGTCAACAAGAGGATTGTGAGCTGTGAGTTGAAGACATGGAGAGTATCTAGACATTATGAGAGACTTAGAAAGTCATTTGGAGAAGGAGACAAGTCATTGATGAGAGCACAAGAGCTATAGTTGAGGGCAGTCAACTAGGGTTTCATCTGGGTCAACCCTAGGTCAACCCTAGGTCAATTGACTGATTTAAGGGGTATTCAAGTCTATTAAGGAGATGTGGGGTTCATCATTGGATATATAAAGAAGGATATGGAGATATGCCAAGAAGAATTCAAGAGAAATCAAGGAGAAGAGGAGTTACTAAATTAGGGTTTCTGTGTAAAATCCCCTAGTTTAGGTCAAATTTCCAAGCAAGATAAGTCAAAATGCTAGCTTCAAATGGCTTCTTGGCCAACATGAAACTTGTAGAGGGTCTCAAGACCTTTAATTTTAGTGGTGGAAGACATCAAGTAGATTTATGGAACTCAAGTTATGGTCCTTGCAAGTTACAGGTCATCTGAGGTATCTGAAATTTTGTCTGTGAAAGTGACTTGACTTCCAAGCTAGTTTTACCCCTCAAGGAGATTTCAAATGAATTCTTGGTCAACATAAGAATTGTTCCTCATTGTCTTAGCTTTCTATAATGGTATAGCATGCTTTCATATGATGTGTGGAACTCAACTTATGGTCTTGGCAAGCAAAGGGTATTTTGGGCATTTGGGAATTACAGGTCATTTTAACCTATGTCCAAAACTCATACAAGGAGGCCTCAAATGGAAAAACTTACAACATCAAACTTGCTCCAAATGGGATTTTAAGTCTAGAAAGAAGGTCACAAGTTGTTGGAAAAGCTCATAGCATGAAGTTGCATGATTGGTCCAAAGTTGAACTAAAATGGCTTATAATTTGGATAAATTCAAAATGAAAAATGGTTTGGGAGATTTATAAGTCCAAATGGAGACTTCCAATATATGATTTTGAATGGAAAAGCAATTCTAAAGACAATGGTTCAAACACTTTTTTGAGTTTAGTGGAAGATTTCAAAGTTATCCTTGGTTGCTTGCATTTTAAGAAACATAGCCAAAATGAATCAAAGTTGGAAGGCAAGGGAATGTGTAAGATGGATCTAGAATGTTCATGTGAGCACTATATAAGCATGAAATGAAGATTGATCAAGGGTTGGACTCATTTTTCACCAAAAATTTCACAAACTCTCTCATTCTTTCTCTTGGCAATTTCACTTCAACCTCTCAAAATCTTCATCAATTTTCATCCACATCAATTCAATCTCATTCAATCATCATCCTGGATCATAATTGAAGCAAAGATTTGGTGGTTAGAATCCATTTTCGAGCACTTCCATCATCAACATCAAAATTGAAGTTTCAAGTTGATAGCACAATTCAAGCCAAGTTTCATTCAAGTGTTGCATACAGAAGCAAGAGCTTCACTCACTGATCAAGATCTGAGCATTGGTGTTGGTGGATTCACGAGTTTCCATAGCTGTTTTCAAGCTTTTGCATCAGGTGCGTTTTCATTCAAACAACTTGATTCAATTAGGTTAGCATGATTTTATTAGTTTAGACATGATGTAGGAGGTTAGTAGAGCAATTAGGATGAATTTGGAGTAGTTTGGTGACAATTGTTAGCAGGTGTACAAATCTGTTAGGACCTAGAACTCATGGATTAGTGCATTAGAATCTTAGGTTGTTAGTGCAGGATAATCACCATTAGTTATAGTTTAGATTAGTGCAAGTTTGATGGAGAATTGTGTTGGTGAGTTGCAGAGCATGTTCATGGTGACCAGAACTTGTTGTTATCGGGTTGAGTGATCTAGTGAGTTTTAAATCAATCCAAGACCATAGGCTTATAGAGGGAGAGATGTAGAATGTTTTTCATGTTGGCGTCGTGTTGATTCATGGACTGGAGATGGAGAACTGAGAGCTTGAATTTTGCTCGTGCATGGCTGCCATGGGAGAGGAAACCCTAATTCATTTGAACTGATGAGGAAGACGCAATCTGGAGCGTTCATTTCATGTTGGACCCTTGACTTGGAGAGTAATCCTAGGGCTGAGATTTGATTCTGATTTGGAGGGAATTGTGTTGAAGCCAAACGCACCGTTTCATTAATTGAAACGGGCGGGCCTAGGATGATGTTGATAATCCCACCCCCCAGTTACCAAGCCCAATCATTCTGAACGTGTTTCCTTTTCTATTTTCACCCCTGCGTGTTTTTTTTATTTTTCATGGTTTCTGACTTTGTTCTGGGCTTAGTGTAATATGCTACGCGCACCCCCTGTTTGCCTGGCCCAATGAATATCAACTGAACGCGCCTGCTATTCTTACCCCCCTCCCTTTATTTCATTATTTTTTCTTTTATATTCTTTAATTGTTTTTTATGCATTTTCATAAATTCATAATAAATACATAAAAATTCATTTTTAATCCATTCTTTTTACATCATTTTCATTAGAGTGTTTAGAAAATTATAGAAAAATAAAATTGCATTTTTATTTTTATTTCATATTTTTTCCATATTTTCTAAATAAATGCCATTTTAAATAGATTCATTTCATGCATGATTTTAGTGATTTTTGTTCTACCAAATGCTTTAATATTTTTTGTTCATTCTTTTTATGTTGCTTAGATTAGATATTGAAATTGTAGATTCAATTTAGTTCCCATTTTTAGGAATTAATTTTAGGTGATTAATGTAGGCTTGAACAACATGAACAAATTAGGGTTTTTAGGTGATGACTTAGGAAGTTTGATTCATTTCCCTTAGGACTTAGGGTTTGAATAGTTTAGTTATGGGACTATAGGGGCTATGGGTAGTTATTAGATCCCTTAGAAAAAGTCAGGATTCCCCTACTGCTATTAATACTGTCTGTATATCTGATTGACTGGTGTGGTGTGCCCTCTGGGGATTATTGCTTGCTTGCTTGGGTATTGGGTTTGTCTGGGGACCTGGGGAAGCTGAAGACTTGAGGAGATGAAGACCATTGGAGATTCAGAGATTGAAGATCAACTTCCAGAGTTGAAGAGAAGATTCTTGCTAGCAGATGCTGAGGAAACTAGGGTTTAGGAGCTAGGCAGAGCTCTAGGTTAGAAAGTTTGTTTCTCAAACATGGATTGCCTTGTCTGCATCCATTCTTCTCTGTGATTCAGAGTCTCTCTAAGACACTCACCCCCTTCCTTTGGAAGGCTTGGTGATGGTGTCTATGAGATAGAACTCTTGAGAGAAAATGTCTCTTGTGTTAGAAGCAGTTTGTTCACCACCCTTGGTAGTCAACTGATTGCTTAACACCCAATTCACTCTTGTGACTAATCCCTCATCCTGGAGGTTTGAACTTGAAGAAAAGCCATTGCAGATGGAAGACTGATGATCAAAACCCTTGCTTGAAGGTCATGAAGATGGAGATTGATGCTTGTTGAAGCCTGTAGCTGATTGGAGATTATTTGAAGCCAGATGTTGATTCAGAGCTGCTGAAGCTGCTTCTTTTTTGCTGTTGTATTTTATTTGCTGATGTATTGATTGGTTTTCTGAACTGTATTGTTTGCTGTTTACCCTGTTGGGTTGAAAGTGAAGCCTGTTCACTTTCGCCTATTGTTTTCTAGGTTCGAGGTTGAGTGGGACTCCCTTGCCTCGCTTGTACTGTTGCATCCATGCATTTTACTGCTTTATTATATCTGGTATTGTTTCTGTTTCTGCCTATCCCGTAGGATCTCTGTTTCTCTCTGTGCAAGAGAGGAGCATGATAGACACTAGGTCTTAACCCATGCATGATAACATTAGGTTAGTTTGTTTCCCTTCGCAACCGTAGGTTAGAGTTCTGTCTCTTCTTTCTCAAAACAAACAGAAAAACACATAAAGATTTCAAACACAATAAAAGACACTTCTTTCGTAAAAGAATGTGAACTCATCAAAACGTCATTTTTGTCCGCTTGGACCGCTAATCAGAAAACCCTTTTTCAGAAGGAGTAAAATCAACCAAGACAGACTTGTGTCGTACGTGGCCCGAACTACGTTTGCTCTGATCTTTCATGCTGTATGAAAGTACGTAGGCATAGGATGCGATATCCTAGCGAGCAACCTTCCCCTCCTTTCCAGTAGGTAGGCGAACTACGTTGACTCTGATTTCTCGTTCCAGGCGGGAATACGTAGGCATAAAGTGCGATACTTTGCCGAGTCATTTTTTTTATATTTTATTTCTCTTTTATTTTTAACCCCTGACCTTTAGAGTAGATAGAATAACAATCCATACCCGAAAACAAGCGTGGATCCCGTCGAGTACGACGGACGTGAGGGGTGCTAATACCTTCCCCTTGCGTAACCGACTCCCGAACCCAGGTTTTGGTTGCGATGACCATACCTTTCCCGTGTTGTGCGAGGTTTACTCTGAGCGTTTCCTTTCCCTCCCGTGGGATAAATAACGCACGGTGGCGACTCTTCTGTTCAGCCGGCGCCGATTTTCGCAGTAGCGACAGCTGGCGACTCTGCTGGGGATCCAACGTCCCCTGGCTGCTAAGGACTGCGATAGTTCTTATGCATTTGGGATCCAACGTCCCTTAAGAGAGTCAATCCTAGCGCTTGTTTTCCCGTCGAGGATTTTGTA